GGCAGGAGTGGGTGTGAGGAAGGGCAAGAGGTGAGATGGGGCAGACGCTGTTAAAGTGTGCATGGAGAGATGGTGAGGAGTCCGGCTTCGACTTCAGCCCTAACGTATACGCACGTGCACACGCACACACACTCACACACACCCCTCCACACACCTGCCCCAAATGGTCTCCAGTGCTCCCAGCTCCCCGGATTTCGGCCCCCTTCCCCCACAAACTGCTCACCTGGGTTCCTGCTCATTGTCCCAGGTGTGGGCCGCGCTCGGGATCCCCTGAACCGCCGCCCCGCCGTCCCTGGGCCTCCAGGGTGCTGCAGGAGGCGACCAACTGGCGGGCGGGGCCCCCGGCCGAGGCCCGAGCCCGGGAGCAAGAGAAAAGGAAAGCGGCATCGCAAGAGCGGGAGGCCAAGGAGACCGAGCGAAAAAGGCGCAAGGCTGGTGGGGCCCGAAGGAGCCCCCTCGGTCGGCCCCGCCCGGAACCTCGGAACGCCCCTCGGGTGGCCCAGCCTGTAGGGCCCTCAGCTCCTTCACGACCCGAGCGCCTGGGGCTGGCGGGGCGACCGCCCCGTCCATCCGCGCAGCCTCAGAGCGACCCAGGGGCGGCGTGGGCGGGGCCCTGGGGAGGTAGGCGGTCAGGGCCCCCCAGCTACGAGGCACACCTGCTGCTAAGGGGCGCAGCCGGGACGGCCCTGCGACGACGCTGGGACCGCCCGCCACCCTACGTGGCTCCACCTTCTTACGAAGGCCCCCACAGGACCTTGGGGTCTAAGCGAGGCCCCGAGCCCTCCCAGGCGCCCGCCTCAGCAGCCTGTGCTCCGACTCCGGCCAGGACAGAGGGAGGGTTCACAAAGAAGAGGCTGGATCCTCGGATCTATCGGGACGTCCTCGGGGCTTGGGGTCTCCGACAGGGACGGGGTCTCCTGGGGGGATCCCCAGGCTGTGGAACAGCCAGGCCAAGGCTGGAGTCCGGCAAAGGGGCCGTGGAGAAAAGCCTGGGGCTGGCTAGTGCCGGCCCGAATAGTGGTAGTGACAGCCATCCCCAAGCCAAAGCTGCTGGGAGCCCAAGCTCGGAGACAGCTCCTGCGGGGTTGGCCGCTGCGACTCCCAGCCCACCGCGTCCCGCTCCCAGGTCCAGGCCCCATCTCAAGGGCCCCGGGGAAGGGAAAGAAAGTAGGGAACAGAGCTGGCTCCCCAAATGCTGGATTCCCTCCCTTAAAAGGCAGCCACCGCGACATAGCCAGACCCTCCCCAGACCCTGGGCTCCAGGAGGCACTGGATGGAGAGAGTCCCTGGGTCATAGAGAGGGGGCAGGACCTGAGACCTTGGAGGGTTGGAAAGGGGCCCGCCGCGCCCACACCCTGCCCCGCAGCTCCCGCGGCCCTGCTCGGGGAGAAGGCGTCTTTGTCATTGACGCCACGTGCGTGGTGATACGCTCCCAGTACGTTCCAACCCCTCGAACCCAGCATGTACAGCTTCTGCCCAATGGGGTGCCGCGCGTCGGGGGGGATGCCCCTAACCAACCGAAGCCCAACAAGGAAGAGGTCGAGGGAGTCGCGGCCTTTCCCTCCCCATGCCAAAAACTGCTGTTGAGCAGTCGCCTTTCACACCAGCTCGGTGGGGGGCGAGGGTTCGAAGCTGAGGGCGGGAAGCCCCCGGACTCCTCCTTGGAGGAGCGCGCCTCGCGCATCTTGGGGCTCCCGGTTGGCGAAGTAAACCTGCAGGACGCCCCCACGCAGCCAGGTAGCCCAGAGCGCTCAGTCTTAGGCCCACCGGCTTCGGGAGGCGCGGGCAGTGCCGAGGGCTCGGAGGAAGTGGCGGCTGTCCCGCGGCGCGCGGGCCGGGGCTGGGCGCGGACCCCAGGGCCCTACGCCGGGGCCCTGCGGGAAGCCGTGTCCCGCATCCGGCGTCACACTGCCCCGGACTCGGACTCAGACGAAGCTGCGGAGCTCAGCGTCCACAGCGGCTCTTCTGATGGAAGCGACACCGAAGCCTCGGGCGCCTCCTGGCGAAATGAGCGGCCCCGGCCCGGGGAAGGCGGGAAGACGGCAGAGCTGAGCGACAGTATCCGAGAGATTCTAGATGTCATCAACCGAACCGAGGAGGCCTTCTTCGGAGAAAGGGACACTAAGGGGATGCCACAGGGAAATAGGGAGCAGCAGTGAGAGGCCCTTTCTTGTATTTGTGTTCCCCAACCTTTCCATCTTTGGGCCCACTGGTCCTCTTTCTTCCTCACAGACTTCCTTGTACCCCTTACCCATAGCCGTTCCCACACTTGAAATAGCAGCCGCCCGATTGAAAGGAAAGGGAGCATGTGGCAATTCATGGTTTCTTTTTTTTTCTTTTCTTTGTCCTTTCCTTTCTTACTTTCCTTTCCCTTCCTTTCCTTTCCGGGAGAGGCGAGGATGAGCAGTTGACTTTAATCCCTGCTCCATTCAGGGCACTGGGGTAAAATCTTCACCAGGGGCAGATGAACTAGTTGTGGAGCTGAGCAGAGAGACCTAGCCAGGACCAGGAGGGAGGGCAGGGATGGTATAGTCATAGGAGGGCAACTTAGGGCGGAGTCTCTGGGCTGGAGGGAGAAAGTGATGGAAGAGGCTTCTGAGTGAGGTGACCAGGTGACATAGAGGCCTTTGGCAGAAGAGGAAGGGACCCAGAAGCAACCAGCAAAACAGGAAGAGGGCTTACTTTGGTTCACAAGGCCCCAAACAAGGTTCCAATCCCAACTCTGACACTGACTGCTGGGTGACCTTAGGCAAGTCACTTCCCTTCTCCAGGCCTACTAATATGTAAAATGAGGGAGTCCTAACATCATCTCTGATGTTTTGGATCCTTGGGGGAGGATTTGTATCTTATCCTCTCCTCCACCGGCCGAGAAAGAGAATTAGGAATAAATGTACGGAGTCTGAGTGTCCCTGGGTGGCTTCATTTTCACCTGCACTCGTTCACAACTCAAGAGATTGTCCAAGGTTTGCAGAAGATCTGAGTGAGTGGGTGAGGGCTTCTATCCCAGTATCTTAGGTTTAGGTGAGGGCTCCCCAAAGCAGAGCAGGAGTGTGGCCTTGTCACTGTCCCTGGCCTGCAGTGGTCTGAGCTGGGGAGGGAAGGCAGCCAGTGAATCAGCTTGGGACCTCTTTAGGCCTTCCCCTTTTCCTCCTCCCCAGTGTTCCTTAGTGATGCTATGAATTGTTACCACAATTTCATACCCCGGTGGTATCACTCATCTGAAAGAACCCTGAAAATTTCTTGCATCTCTGCCTCTTCCAGAAACCTTGGCCAGGGAAGGAAGAGGGAGGCTGGTCCCCAAAAGCCTGTAGGTGTGGGGTGTGATACTCGCTGTAGCCACTATGGGGCGCGCGCAGGTCGCGGATTTCCCCAGTAGCTAATTCCCGAGTCCCCCGCCCCGTACCCAGGCACTGCTAGTTAACCAGTTGATTCCCAGTTACTGCGCGCCGGTCCCCCGCCTTCCAGCCGTGTGAGGTCGGGGGCAGTCCTCTGGCCTTCTAGACTTCTGGAGCGCGCGGAGCCCCTCTTTGTACTCACCCACGCCAAGTGGCTTGGGACCCAGACACTGAAGTCTTTTTTCTCTACCATCTTGGAGAGCTCTGTCTCTATTTACTAGCCATGCGAATTTGGCCAAATCACTTCACCTCCCTGAGCCTCAGTTTCCTCATCTGTCAAATGGGGGTTTATAAACACCTACCTCGCAGGGTTGTTGTGAGGATTTTACGCGATAATGTATGTAAAGCGCCTTGCACAGTGCCTGGCACACAGTAGGCGCTCAATAAATCTAAGCTTCCCTTTGTCCAATCTTGGCATGTTCTTCCTTTCACCGACCTGACCTACTCCCTCCCTCCGTTGTCCTTCCCCCAGGGTTCCAGTTTCTTCCCACTTGGTGGGGGGCTGGGGGGACTCCTTTCTTTGATGGAAACTCCCGGCTCAACCCTGTCTCCCCTAGTCCGGACTCTTC